CCGTATCACGTTAGAACACAGGTTCTCTTCTGATCACCGAAGTTAAGCAATGTTGAATCTGGTCAGTACCTAGCTAGGAGACCGCTGCGGAATACCAGGTGCCGTAAGCTTGGATGTGCGGGTGGTGTAATGGATAATGGCTCGTAAATTAGAAAGCGGAGTTGCTGTCATATTCTTTACATTCAATTACGCGGAATAATGAATACCCCTCCCAGCCATGGGTTAAATAGTGAGACTTGTATCAAAAAATCATTATCATTTCCCCAAAAGATCTTATAATTGAAAAATATGCTTCGGCTTTGAATAAGCTTGAAGGGGTTGATAAGCCGTAAAGCACAAATGAATCAATCAATTGTTTATCGGCGTCAAGGTAAATTTTCAGAAGATATTGCCATACAACAGAAAAGAGGTTTAGTGAATGAACAAAAAGAACTGACGTTAAAACATACAACCGTGGAAAATAATTATCCACAAGAAATTTCAGGACAGTGCACGTAATTATCCGTGTATAATACGCACGTTTTCCATATGTTTTAGACCTAAAAGTTAGAGACGCATATTATACATAAACATGAAAGAGTAATTCCAAGTGCAGGTTAGAATAAATAAAATAAAAACAACTTTCATCTGATTTTTTAATTATTTCACCGCAAGTAAGGCGATAATGTCACTAAGACGTAAGGAGTTACTGGAAGTGAAAGAGAATGAGAAGACTTTAGTGAGGAGAAAGGACAATAAAATATTTAGGAAGACAGAAGATGACAATTGATGTTGCATTTAAATTTTTGATAATTGTACGTGGCAGGGAAGAAAAAAAGACAAAAAAAACGGTCATACAAATTTTAAGCTTTATATATTTGTGATAATTAAAATTAAATATCTTACAAACTAATACAGCAAGTTTGTTTTCATTTTTTATATTATTTTCCGTAACTTGTTTATAACTGTAATATCCGTGACTTTTTTTATAATGGTAATGCCGGCAACTTGTTTATAACTGTAATGCCTGTAACTTGTTTATAACTGTAGTGTCTGTAACTTTTTTTTAATAACGGTACTGTCTGTAACTTGTTTATAACTGCAGTGTCTGTAACTTTTTTTATAATGGTAATGCCTGTAACTTGATTATAACTGTAAAGTCTGTAACTGGTTTATAATTGTAATGCCTACAACTTTTTTATAACGTAAATTCTGTAATTTATTTATAACTATAATGTCTGTAACTTGCTTATAACTGTAATGTCTATAACTTTTTTTATAACGGTACTGCCTGTAAATAGTATATAACTGTAATGTCTGTAACTTTTTTATAACGGTAATGCCTGTAACTTGTTTATGACTGTAATGTCTGTAACCTTTTTATAACGTAATGTCTGCAACTTGTTTATAATTGTAATGTCTGTAACTTGTTTATAACTGTAATGTCTGTAACTTTTTTTTATAACGTTAATGTCTGTAACTTTTTTTATAACTGTAATGTCTGTAATATTTTTACTGCATAAAGTTATCTCCCTTGCGTTCACGAGTCATCCCTGAGATGTTTTTTTAGGGTTTTATTTGTAATATTTTATAAATTCATGTTTAAATTCTCTGATCTTCTAAAGACGAAATTCATATTTTGCACAATTTTGCTAATATTTTTTCTCCTTGTGGATCTTTTGATTTCCGTAATTATCAGTGTATAATACGCACTTTATTTTACCAGATTGTTAATCCTAAAAGTAAAAAGTGCGTATTATACACATAAAGTAAATATTAACTATTCTTTTTCCCGCCATGTGCTTCGCCATTTTCCAGACTGTATGACCGAAAGAAAGTGTTACCTTTGGCCCAAACGAATTAATTTTAAAAAGAGGAGCTTAAATCAGAAGCCAAACACCGAATTTGCTTTTGTTTTAAATATATAATATTAATTCGTCACATTCTGCTGTCCGGGTTGATGTCATTACAGTTTCATCTTGGTTGTCAGCGGAGTAAATGTCTTCGCCATTTTTGATGTCGTCGTCGTCCACAGAGTCATTATCTCCTTCTTCCTCATAAAGATCAACTTCACTATTGCCCAGTGAATCCGTGACGCCACACATCGAACGACTTTTTGCCACGACGTAGTTGTAATAATGTCTGCATCTCTTTTACGACATTCCATATAAATAGCCAAAAGCCATCAGAAAATGGTTGTTGATAAGTCATTTATTTTCCCTTGTATGAACCTATTTTCGTGGCAACCTTGCCGTAGCTTTCTATGAGCATATCGATGCGTTTGCTTCTTCTTGAAAATGTTTTATGCCTTTCTCAAGGGTTTTAGGGCGAAATTACAGCAAGCCAGAATCTCATGGCTCTCCCCAATGTCCTGTCCTTTGCGAACTGGGAAAATAAAACATCCCTATAACCCTAGAAACATACACACAACCCATAGACCCAGTTAAAAACAAAAATAAAATCATCCTTGAGAATGGCTAAAAGTATAGCTGAAAGTGCTCGGAATTACAGAACATTTGTACAGTTTCTACAAACTCTGTGTCCAGAAAAGAAAGCACTTGTTCGAACACAAGAAAATTTAAATAAAACGCTTAATCGCAGTCTCTTGTCTGTCGTCTTTAATGAGACATGCATATATATATATATATATATATATATAGCGACAGAGAGAGAGAGAGAGAGAGAAATGTTTCATTGAAAGTATCTAACAAGATGCTACTGTTATGTACTCATTAATATCACTCCCCGCTCAGAATAAGCGCGACTAACCCCAACGACCCTAACGGTGGATGATGATCACAACAGATCTCAATGGTTAAACCCATGGATGAAGAGGGCTACGCATTATGGACATGCTACAGAAGGCGCTACACGAAATTATAAAAGAGTCAGAGGTAATCCGTTGCAGTTTCATAACTGGATTCTGCATGTCTCTCTCTGTACTGCAGAGGAAGGTTATGAAATCAGGTGTGTGGGTCACTTCCTGGCAAGTTGAGGTCCACCTTAAACAAATTCACGACATCGGCACTTTCTACTACTCTGATTTTCTTGCAGTGCTTTTAACAACAAAAGCTTAGTTCAATCTTGAACATCAAATGGAATTATTATGTGACCAACATTGAAGTCCTGGAAAGAATCAACAGTTAAATCATTGAATCACTGATCATAAAACACTTTCTTCTTTGGTCAGGACATATAGCAAGAATGGAAGAATCAAGGTTACCATGTCAAGTCTTATTCAGTGAGTTCACTTCAGTCTTCGTCTTTGAAGATACAAGGACCACTCAAAACAACACTGAAATCCACTGGACTTGAGTCTAAATCTTTTGAAACACAAGCACAAGATTGTATCAACTGGCGATGTTTCATTAATATCGGAATCAAAAAGTTCGAGGCCACCAGAAGAGAAAAGGAAAGCGTTAAACGATAAGAGAAGAAAGGCACGACAAATTCGACCTCGTCCTCCACTGTCATTATTATACAGTCACTGTCATCGGCTCTTCCATGTAAGAATTGGTCTACTTAGTCAACGCCATCATCATGAAGGAAGCGATCAGTAAAGAAGAAGTTAAATTATTGGATACGAAATAAAGCTGACGAATATCAACACGGAAACAACAAACCAATTTCGATACGTCAAATACTTGTTGAAAGTACAAGAATAATACACGCCAATAACTGTAGAAAACGATTAAAAATTATAAAGGCCTTAATCATAAAACTCGCCACCAAAAGAACATGAATTTCGATCTTATTAAGAATAACTCCAAGGGATAATGACGATTCTAGCTTCTTCGTAGTTCATAATTGTTGAACATAATCAGAAGTTTAAATTTGTTCTAAATTGGCAAAATTAAGAAGAAAAAAGTTATTGTTAGACAATATTTTAATTGACATTCATTAATTGACGAAGGCGACATTATCAGTCATCTGATCCTATTAATTAAATATGAATGAAAATATTAATGAAAACGTAAATTGAAATACTGTATGAAAATAGGAAATATTTTAACACTTTTTTCATAATCCTCCATGACAATGGCCCGTTGCCCGTTCTTGGGCTAACGTTGTCGGCTGACATGAAGTGAAAAGACTGTACTGAATCCATTGCTAGGTTAACTACGAAGAAAGTTCGTTCATTGTGTCGTTTGAGACCATTTTTCTCTCCAGAATATATCATACATATCTATAAGTCTACATTCGTCCATGCTTAGACTATAGCTGCTACATATGGCCTGGTGTCCTTGCTATTTATCTAGAGCTCTTTGATAAAATCCAAAAAAGAATCAGCAGTATTATTGGTCCTCGGCTTCATTAACTATCCCACGGCCGTAAGGTTGCCTCTTTCTGTGCCTTTTCTATAAATACTTTCATGGTAATTGTTCAGATGAGCTCTTCGCTATGATACCTAGATTCTTTGAATTTCAGCGAAGTACTAGACTGGCGCCTACCGCTCACTAATTTACTGTCAAGCTGGCGACATGTAACCGTAAGTTCTATGCTAACAGTTTCTTTTCTCGCACTTCTCCCTTGTGGAACTCTCTTCTGGTTCCATGTTTTCCATCCAATCGATTTTTCGGTTCTATCTATCTATATTCATGTGTTCATATATATGTATATCTTTTTCCATCTGGCCATATTTATCTATGTATCTGTCTATTTTCATCTGTTCATATCTATCTATCTATGTATGTAACTGACTATCTATCTATCCATCTATCTACATGATAAAAATATGGTTTTAAGTTATGGTAATATATATAAAGAAATAATCATACATAGAATCAATCAGCAATATCAATGCGATTAATGGCGAAATCACTTCGCTAGTAGAACATAATGTATGCATTAAAATACTGTTAATCCATTGAATGATGTGATCCTCATTTATAAAACTGTTGTCAGATGTTTCTAGTGTATTTTTTTTAAAGTTAAGCAAGTACTTTCGAAAATCCATGTCTTCATCATCAGGCTGTAATTTTTTTCCTTTTTAAAACTTGAAGATAAAAATTGAAGACGAAATGTGTAAAATTATTTGCACAAGGCCGTAAAGGGACGGATTAAGGCTGGTCCACTATGACATGGACTAATCCGATTCATGACCCATTCCTCATTACAATTTACCCATT